TAAAAATATTTGTTACATAAATTTTCAAGCTTAATTTTAAAAAAATTTTAAAATTTGTGCATATCGTTTTAATTTTAAAACAATTTGTGCATATCGTTTTACTAAATTTTAAAAAAATTATTAAATGTTGTTTTAAGTGTTCATAAGAAATTGGATATAAAATTTGAACAGAAAGTGCTGAAATTGCATTTTGCAAGTGAACATGAAGTTTATATACAAAGTTAACAAAAAATTATTAAATGTTGTTTTAAGTGTTTATATCGTTCATGCAACAACAATTTGTGCATTATTTTCTTGCATTTGTAAACCATTTTGTCCAAAAAATTGTACTTGTAATTGGTGGAAGGAAGCACACAATATATGATCCTTGATGCTTGAGACACTGATTAGCAATAATTTTTTGATCTAGATAAGAGAATAGGTAAAATTTGTCTGAAATTAAATGTTAATAATATTATTTTCCCACTAAGAGGTCTGTCCAAATTCTCAAAATCGTCAACATTCATAACATTTTGAAGACCTTCTTGTGATAAGTATTATTAATTGCATTTAAACATTCGGATACAAAAACTAATAAAAAAATATTTATCAAAACATTTAATAAGAAAAATTAAGCTAAATGCCTGGAGTTAGAACAATAGAAATATCATAAGCACTCACTTTCACTATAATTGTCAAAACATGATAAGACGAACCTCATAAGCCCAACACACTCGTCTTGTCCTGAAAATGTTTTAAATATATATATATATATATATATATATATATATATCTAAGTGATTTGAAAATTTAAAAGATGATCTTTTTAATTTAAACTTTTAATATATTTTTTAATAATATAAATTTTGAAATAAGATATATATTTTTTATATTAATTTATTAATTACAAATTAAAAAATATTTATCATGTTAAAATTAAAAGGAAAGTTGATTTTTTTGTTTTTTTATTTAAAATTTAAAAATTAAATCTCAAACAATATAATTTTTTATGTTTCAATTCAAAAAAATAATAAAAAATAAAATTTTTAATAACTAATTAGAATTAAATTTATAAAAAAATATACCGATTATATCGCATGATCGTAATTATAAAATATGTACCACATGTTATAAGATACGTATCACATATCATATAATATGCTTTTGATATTTAATTAAATATAATATAATTATAAATATATTATTTTATTAATATCATATTATATCAAATTTTACATATTGCATATCATACAATAATAATAATTATATCTATAATCAAATTTCTTTTGAAAAAATACTACTAGATTCGGCCAGCTAAAACCAAATCCGACCCTCTCATGGTCGGAAACAACCTTAAATAAACTATATTTGACAGATTTACAATCAAAATTTTTTAAAAAGTAGATTTCTTTTTTGGCCAAATTTCTTTCTCTGTTAATAGCATTTTTCCTTGAAACTTTCTTTTCGCTGCTCACCCAATTTCCCTGATTCCATCCCGATTCTTATACGCCACTTTCTTACTATCAATTTTTTCATATAACATTATGTAATTTCTTTTTGAAATTAATATTTTATTATACAAAAAATTAAATTATTAATTTTGTCAATAAAATTATCAAAATAATCTTAATTTAAAGTTAAGTTATTCAATCACATTTAAAAATATGTTTATAACTTTATTAAATAAAATAAATAATTTAATGTTTTTACTAAAACAAAAATTATCTACAAAATATTAATCAAGAAAAAAGTACTCATAACGTACTAATTTTTAAAAGAAAAACTAGACAGTATTATTTAAGACAAGTTAAAACTAAAGAGTGTAAGTAATTTTTTTTCTTTTTTAATCAAAGGCACTGAACGGATCGTTTTGGGCAAAAGTCAATTAAAAACAGACAGAAATTTACAAAAAAAAAAATCTTCCTTTTATCTTTTGACTTATTATAAAAAATTTTGTGCACATGAAAGAATGATATGTTCATGGAAAAAAAATCATGGACTATAACGTATTACCTGTTATAAATATTTTTATAAATATCTATTTATGTTATATATATATATATATATCTAGATTTGATGTAAATCAGATTAGATTAGGATATAATTCATCTAATCTCTAAATGTTATCTTTATCTTGTAAAAGGGTTATTTGCTTATAAATAGGTATCTTAGTTCATTTGTATATAAACTTCAATAAAATTTCTTCTACCCCTAAATACTTTCTTTCCCTCTAAATATTTTTTCTTATATTTCTTTTATAATTGTTCTTTTAGATTTATTTCATAATATTACAAAATTTTTAATTTAGGAAGATTTTAAAAGATTTAAAAGGATTTGGTTTATCTTTAAAATCATACAGGAGGATTGTACAACACATTTGGACCGGTAGACACACCGGCGAGATCAAAGATAGAAGATTTTCAAGGCATTATTTTAGTACTAACATTTTTCATGTCTTAGGCTTTAATCCAAGTGATAACATTAAGGGGATTATTATCCTAATATTAAATTAATAAGTAAAGGGACAGTTATTTTTATTTAATTATTTTTTTTTGAAAGGCAGGTAAAGGGACGGTTATTAAACAATGTTAATCTTTTTTTTTAATTTTTTTTTATTTTAGGGTAGAACCGGTGTTAGTCATAATCCATAACATATAACAAATGCAAATGCTTCATATTTAATGAGCTCCACGTTCTTTGCATCAATTCATTTGGGTAGGTTTGTTAAGGCATAATACAAGTCATATGAATATAGATCAAAATATATTAATATATCTCATCATGCTTCTG